TTAGGGAGCTGGTCTCGGTACGGTTCCATGTGGACCCCAGTCTGGTTCACTGCTGGTGAGAACGCAGACCGGCCTCAATATGGCCCTGCTCTGTTGTGTAGCTCACTTTTTAACACACACATTGTTTTTTTATATGATAGAATAGTCAAAAACAACCGCAGAGTGTTCTCGTGCTGAATCCGTGATACATACTGGAACTGGAACAACAGTATTTGTGCTGCACAAAGCAACGATGATAAAAAAATAGCCACAAACTAGATCAGCAAAGTTCATTGTTAAAGATCTGACAAGTTTGTTTTCTTCTGGTGTTCTTCCCTCTTCACATCCTGCACCAATCAGGTTTCACATATATCATCCAATACACAGTATTTTGTGAACAGCGCCACCACATGGGCAGAATATGTAACATCCACAGTGGTTGGTTCATTTGCAAAAACACTGGTGTGAATGAGAACCGAACTAGTTAAGAACTGCAACACTGTAACAACTTTGGGCCCAAGTGAACCACTTTACTGGACCAACAGGTGTGAAAGCACCCTTAAAGTGGACAAAATGTACTTTCTTTTCAAAACTCGGTGGTCTGGTTTATAGTCCAGAAAGTACCTCTCATATGGTCCTTTCAAATACTGTTTGTAGTTTGATAGTAATGATAAATGAGTAAATATTGTGAAGCTGAGGACTCACTTGACTCCTTTTTTGGTGACGATCCTCGTGGACGAAGCGTTGAAGACTTTCTCGAACCTCTGAAGTTTGAACCAGTCCATTCTGCACAAACAGGAGACACTGGGACTCAGAGGAGACCAGGGACCAGGGACCAGGCCTAAGGGAGAGATGGAGGACCGGACCAAGGACCAGGTCTAGAGATGGAGGACCGGACCAGTGACCAGGCCTCAGGGAGAGATGGAGGACCGGACCACGGACCAGACCTCAGGGAGAGATGGAGGACCGGACCAGGGACCAGACCTCAGGGAGAGATGGAGGACCGGACCACGGACCAGACCTCAGGGAGAGATGGAGGACCGGACCAGGGACAGGACCAGAAGTCTGCAGCCTACTTCTATTGTGTTTCTATTGTGTGTCCATTGTGTGTCTATTGTGTTTCTATTGTGTGTCCATTGTGTGTCTATCGTGTGTCTATTGTGTGTCTATCGTGTGTCTATTGCGTGTACTTAGTGAGCTCTTGTAAAATATCAAATAAATCAAATCATATCAAATTTACAGATTAAAGGAGAGGTTTCAGTCCTTTAAGAGTCCTCAGTGAACAGCCAGATTAAAGGGGAGGTTTCAGTCCTTTAAGAGTCCTCAGTGAACAGCCAGATTAAAGGGGAGGTTTCAGTCCTTTAAGTGTCCTCAGTGAACAGCCAGATTAAAGGGGAGGTTTCAGTCCTTTAAGAGTCCTCAGTGAACAGCCAGATTAAAGGGGAGGTTTCAGTCCTTTAAGTGTCCGCAGATAGACAAACACAGACAGGTTTTCTGTGTTTAGAGCACTCCCACTTCTCTGCTGTTTATGTTCAGACGATGTTTCTGCTGAATCTCGTCGAACCAGTTTGAGAAGTTAAGAGTTAAGAGTCAGCTGCCAGAAAATACTTGATCACTGACGACTACTACTGCTGCTGTTACTGCTACTAATACTGCTGTTACTGCTGTTACTGCTGCTGTTACTGCTGCTGTTACTGCTACTAATACTGCTGTTACTGCTGTTACTGCTGCTGTTACTGCTGCTGTTACTGCTACTAATACTGCTGTTACTGCTACTACATGTAATACTGCTGTTACTGCTACTAATACTGCTGCTGTTACTGCTGCTACTACTGCTGCTGTTACTGCTACTAATACTGCTGTTACTGCTGTTACTGCTGCTACTACTGCTGCTGTTACTGCTACTAATACTGCTGTTACTGCTACTAATACTGCTGTTACTGCTACTACATGTAATACTGCTGTTACTGCTACTACTGCTGCTGTTACTGCTACTAATACTGCTGTTACTGCTGTTACTGCTGTTACTGCTACTACTACTGCTGTTACTGCTGTTACTGCTGTTACTGCTACTACTACTACTGCTACTACTACTACTGCTACTACTACAAGGCAAGGCAAGTTTATTTGTATAGCACAATTCATACACAAGGCAACAAGTGCTGAACAAAATAAAATCATAAATAATCACAGAACATTAAAAAGAAAGATAAAAATATAAAATCCCTCAGTTGTAGCACAGCTAAACAGAACTGTCTTTAACCTGGTTTTAAACATTGTCAGAGAGGAGGCCTGTCTCACATCTTCAGGAAGACTGTTCCAGATTTTAGCAGCATGAATCTGAAAAGCAGCCTCCCCATGTTTAGTTCTGACTCTGGGCACTAACAGGAGTCCAGTCCCTGTGCTCCTCAGAGTCCCAGCAGGAGTCCAGTCCCTGTGCTCCTCAGAGTCCCAGCAGGAGTCCAGTCCCTGTGCTCCTCAGAGTCCCAGCAGGAGTCCAGTCCCTGTGCTCCTCAGAGTCCCAGCAGGAGGCCAGTCCCTGTGCTCCTCAGAGTCCCAGCAGGAGTCCAGTCCCTGTGCTCCTCAGAGTCCCAGCAGGAGGCCAGTCCCTGTGCTCCTCAGAGTCCCAGCAGGAGTCCAGTCCCTGTGCTCCTCAGAGTCCCAGCAGGAGTCCAGTCCCTGTGCTCCTCAGAGTCCCAGCAGGAGTCCAGTCCCTGTGCTCCTCAGAGTCCCAGCAGGAGGCCAGTCCCTGTGCTCCTCAGAGTCCCAGCAGGAGTCCAGTCCCTGTGCTCCTCAGAGTCCCAGCAGGAGTCCAGTCCCTGTGCTCCTCAGAGTCCCAGCAGGAGGCCAGTCCCTGTGCTCCTCAGAGTCCCAGCAGGAGTCCAGTCCCTGTGCTCCTCAGAGTCCCAGCAGGAGTCCAGTCCCTGTGCTCCTCAGAGTCCCAGCAGGAGTCCAGTCCCTGTGCTCCTCAGAGTCCGGGCTGGTTCATATGGGACTAACATGTCACTAATATATTTTGGTGCGAGGCCATGGAGAGACTTGTAACAAGCAGAGCTGTTTTAAAGTCTATTCTCTGAGCCACAGGAAGCCAGTGCAGAGACCTGAGAACTGGACTAATGTGGTCGTACTTCCTGGTTCTAGTCAGGACTAATATGGTCGTACTTCCTGGTTCTAGTCAGGACTAATATGGTCGTACTTCCTGGTTCTAGTCAGGACTAATGTGGTCGTACTTCCTGGTTCTAGTCAGGACTAATGTGGTCGTACTTCCTGGTTCTAGTCAGGACTAATGTGGTCGTACTTCCTGGTTCTAGTCAGGACTAATGTGGTCGTACTTCCTGGTTCTAGTCAGGACTAATGTGGTCGTACTTCCTGGTTCTAGTCAGGACTAATGTGGTCGTACTTCCTGGTTCTAGTCAGGACTAATGTGGTCGTACTTCCTGGTTCTAGTCAGGACTAATATGGTCGTACTTCCTGGTTCTAGTCAGGACTAATGTGGTCGTACTTCCTGGTTCTAGTCAGGACTAATATGGTCGTACTTCCTGGTTCTAGTCAGGACTAATGTGGTTGTACTTCCTGGTTCTAGTCAGGACTAATATGGTCGTACTTCCTGGTTCTAGTCAGGACTAATGTGGTTGTACTTCCTGGTTCTTGTCAGGACTAATGTGGTTGTACTTCCTGGTTCTAGTCAGGACTAATGTGGTTGTACTTCCTGGTTCTAGTCAGGACTAATATGGTCGTACTTCCTGGTTCTAGTCAGGACTAATGTGGTCGTACTTCCTGGTTCTAGTCAGGACTCGAGCTGCTGCATTTTGAATGTACTGCAGCTGTTTTACAGCCTGTTTGGAGAGACCTGTGAGCAGGCCATTGCAGTAGTCTAACCTACTGGAGACAAATGCATGGATAAGAATCTCCAAGTCTGCTTTAGACACTATGTTTTTGATCCTGGCATTGTTTTTTAGATGGTAAAAAGCTGCTGATGTTACTGATTTGATGTGGCTATTAAAATTTAAGTCTGAGTCCAGTATTACCCCTAGATTTCTGACCACTACTACTGCTACTACTACTACTACTACTGCTACTACTACTACTACTAATGCTACTACTACTAATGCTACTGCTACTACTACTAATACTACTACTGCTACTACTACTACTACTACTGCTACTACTACTGCTACTGCTACTGCTACTACTAATACTACTGAAACTGCCACTACGGCTGCTGCTGGTAGAGTAGAGTAGAGTAGAGTAGAGTAGAGTAGAGGAAAGTAGAGTAGAGGAAAGTAGAGTAGAGTAGAGTAGAGTAGAGTAGAGTAGAGTAGAGTAGAGTAGTGTCTTGTGAAAGTAAAATATTGTGAACAAATCAGTTCACGTGTTTCTGTTAAACTGGTGTTAGCGTCAGTAGCTGGTGTTAGCGTTAGTAGCTGGTGTTAGCGTCAGTAGCTGGTGTTAGCGTTAGTAGCTTGTGTTAGCGTCAGTAGCTTGTGTTAGCGTTAGTAGCTGGTGTTAGCGTCAGTAGCTTGTGTTAGCGTCAGTAGCTTGTGTTAGCGTTAGTAGCTTGTGTTAGCGTCAGTAGCTTGTGTTAGCGTTAGTAGCTGGTGTTAGCGTCAGTAGCTTGTGTTAGCGTCAGTAGCTTGTGTTAGCGTTAGTAGCTTGTGTTAGCGTCAGTAGCTTGTGTTAGCGTTAGTAGCTGGTGTTAGCGTCAGTAGCTTGTGTTAGCGTCAGTAGCTTGTGTTAGCGTTAGTAGCTTGTGTTAGCGTCAGTAGCTTGTGTTAGCGTTAGTAGCTTGTGTTAGCGTTAGTAGCTTGTGTTAGCGTCAGTAGCTGGTGTTAGCGTCAGTAGCTTGTGTTAGCGTCAGTAGCTTGTGTTAGCGTTAGTAGCTGGTGTTAGCGTCAGTAGCTTGTGTTAGCGTCAGTAGCTTGTGTTAGCGTTAGTAGCTGGTGTTAGCGTCAGTAGCTCTCTTACTCGTAGTGGAATCCGATGTCATGATTTCCCACCAGGACGACGAGCTCCGTGTCGGTGGAATGTCGGAACATTCTGTGGAAGCGCCGCACGTCATCCTCCCAGTGCTGCGGACAGAGTTAGCATCAAACAGTTAGCATCAACCCGTTAGCATCAACCAGTTAGCATTAACCCGTTAGCATTAACCCGTTAGCATTAACCCGTTAGCATCAACCCGTTAGCATCAAACCGTCACACATCATGCACTTTACGTAATGATTCTGAATTTGGTGATTATTTCCACATGTATTTCTTTCAGCTCCTGCCCCTCAGTGTTTACAGTGTACGCACGGCTTTTGACAGCTGCAGCAACCATAGACATTCCACGTTCTGAGCTTTCCAACAGTGGAGCTGAATGTTCTAATCTGTCATCATTGAAGGGCCCTAATCTCTCATCATTAAAGGGCCCTAATCTGTCATCATTAAAGGGCCGTAATCTCTCATCATAAAAGGGCCCTAATCTGTGATCATTAAAGGGCCCTAATCTGTCATCATTAAAGGGCCCTAATCTGTCATCATTAAAGGGCCCTAATCTGTCATCATTAAAGGGCCCTAACCTGTCATCATTAAAGGGCCCTAATCCCTCATCATTAAAGGGCCCTAATCTGTCATCATTAAAGGGCCCTAATCTGTCATCATTAAAGGGCCCTAATCTCTCATCATTAAAGGGCCCTAATCTGTCATCATTAAAGGGCCCTAATCTCTCATCATTAAAGGGCCCTAATCTGTCATCATTAAAGGGCCCTAATTTCTCATCATTAATGGGCCCTAATCTGTCATCATTAAAGGGCCCTAATCTGTCATTAAAGGGTCCTAATCTGTCATTAAAGGGCCCTAATCTGTTATCATTAATGGGCCCTAATCTGTCATCATGAATGACATTGTTGTCAGGCTTGATCTCTCTGACCCGGCTTGGATTTGCCCCTGTGTACGGAGGTCTGAGGGCACCGGAATTCGGTTTAATTGGAATTAATAGAATATCTGCCTGCTTTTGACTGCGACATTGCAGGCGATGTGTTTTTCTCCTCCTGTGGCTTCTCTCCACTCTTATCTCACATTCCTCAGCCAAGGCCATAAACAAGGTCCCACAATCTACAACAACTCACACTATTTCAGTCTTCAGCAAGGATCCCCCACCCCCGCCTCCCTCTACCTATCCATCTTGCTCCCTCCCTCCCCTCCATTCCTTATTGTTTTCCTACTCACCCCCTCCCTGATCCCGCCCCCCTCTGACAGCTACATTGGGCCGGCCGAAGAGGTGCTCTTCCCGAGAAAAAAATCCGTGGTTTATAAAAAGCACAATGTGTCTATCCAATTGTCTGTGAACTGTATGTTATTGCTCTCTGCTGTTTCTTGCTGCACACAGCGCCGCAAATGGCGAAGTGGCACGCTCTCTGCCAAAACAATTTCCAAGTGATAACTTTGTTACTCACGTGGCAATAAAAATGATTCTGATTCTGATTCTGATCATTAAAGGGCCCTAATCTGTCATTAAAGGGTCCTAATCTGTCATTAAAGGGCCCTAATCTCTCATCATTAAAGGGCCCTAATCTGATTTGAGAATCATAAGGTCTCGTTATGATTCTCAAATCATTAACGACAAAACAAGAATAAAACCAGGATTTCTATCTTTGTGAAAAAGGTGTTGGTTATAGATTTGTTGTTGACAAAACTCTTGTCTATTCAGCTGTTATGGTCCCAGCTGGATTCGTCTGCATATCTGGCAACCTGAGTCAGGGAGAGTGGGAGAGGCTGCAGTACCACTTTTGACCACATTTTTACACACTGCTCCTTTAATAAAACCAAACATGCTGTATATTTGTATATTATCATGTATGTTTATTTGTCTGTTTTGTTGTTTGTTGTTGTTCTTCATGGTCCTCTCTCTGTGATTTCTAAACAGTTCTTACACAAACTCTCCTCCTGTCCCTGTGGGCCACATGAGTCTACAGAGAGCCCACAGGGACACACTGGGACCAGGTGGAGCAGGGCACCTGTGCGTCGCTGGTGCCACTTAAGAGAGCGATGATTGAATCAGTGAGTGATTATTGATGGTTTCCTCCTGGTGCCGCGGGCTCCCTGGTGTTGTGTCTCATTAGATCCTCAGCACTAATGAGACTCTGAGGGTTTTCACACCCACGACCAGAGAGAGACCAGAGAGAGACCAGAGAGAGACCAGAGAGAGAGCAGAGAGAGAGACCAGAGAGAGACCCGAGAGAGACCAGAGAGAGAGCAGAGAGAGAGACCAGAGAGAGAGCAGAGAGAGAGCAGAGACAGAGACCAGAGAGAGAGACCAGAGAGAGACCAGAGAGAGAGACCAGAGAGAGACCAGAGAGAGGCCAGAGAGAGAGACCAGAGAGAGAGACCAGAGAGAGACCAGAGAGAGAGACCAGAGAGAGACCAGAGAGAGGCCAGAGAGAGAGACCAGAAAGAGACCAGAGAGAGAGACCAGAGAGAGACCAGAGAGAGGCCAGAGAGAGACCAGAGAGAGAGAGACCAGAGAGAGAGACCAGAGAGAGAGACCAGAGAGAGACCAGAGAGAGAGACCAGAGAGAGACCAGAGAGAGAGACCAGAGAGAGACCAGAGAGAATTCAAAGGTTGAACCCAAACAGCAGAACAAAAGCATGTGTTTTACAGCTTTAAGAACACTGACTGTAGAAATGGACAATGCTAACCTGCTAGCTTGACTGGTTCTGTAACTTGTGATGCAACACTGACATTTCCCCACTGTGGGACCAATACAAAATCTCTTGATCTTGATCTTAGAATAAATGTAAATGTTTTGTAAAGACTCATTCTAAGGAGTGTCTTGCTTAAGGAAACAACAATATTAGCACCTGAAAAAGTGAGTAAAAAACAATACCTTATGAGTACATTTGTAATAAATCTGGTACAAAACTAAACATTTTAACAACATTTATGGACAACCAGAGAGAGACCAGAGCGAGACCAGAGCGAGACCAGAGCGAGACCAGAGAGAGACCAGAGAGAGACCAGAGCGAGACCAGAGCGAGACCAGAGAGAGACCAGAGAGAGACCAGAGCGAGACCAGAGCGAGACCAGAGAGAGACCAGAGAGAGACCAGAGAGAGAGACCAGAGAGAGACCAGAGAGAGACCAGAGAGAGACCAGAGCGAGACCAGAGAGAGACCAGAGAGAGACCAGAGAGAGACCAGAGCGAGACCAGAGAGAGACCAGAAAGAGACCAGAGAGAGACCAGAGAGAGAGACCAGAAAGAGACCAGAGAAAGACCAGAGAGAGACCAGAGAGAGACCAGAGAGAGACCAGAGAGAGACCAGAGCGAGACCAGAGCGAGACCAGAGAGAGACCAGAGAGAGACCAGAGAGAGACCAGAGAGAGACCAGAGCGAGACCAGAGAGAGACCAGAGAGAGACCAGAGAGAGACCAGAGAGAGACCAGAGAGAGACCAGAGAGAGACCAGAGAGAGACCAGAGAGAGACCAGAGAGAGACCAGAAAGAGACCAGAGAGAGACCAGAGAGAGACCAGAGAGAGACCAGAGACAGACCAGAGAGAGACCAGAGAGAGACCAGAGAGAGACCAGAGAGAGACCAGAGAGAGACCAGAGAGAGACCAGAAAGAGACCAGAGAGAGACCAGAGAGAGACCAGAGAGAGACCAGAAAGAGACCAGAGAAAGACCAAAGAGAGACCAGAGAGAGACCAGAGAGAGACCAGAGAGAGACCAGAGCGAGACCAGAGCGAGACCAGAGAGAGACCAGAGAGAGACCAGAGAGAGACCAGAGAGAGACCAGAGCGAGACCAGAGAGAGACCAGAAAGAGACCAGAGAGAGACCAGAGAGAGACCAGAGAGAGACCAGAGAGAGACCAGAGAAAGACCAAAGAGAGACCAGAGAGAGACCAGAGAGAGACCAGAGAGAGACCAGAGAGAGACCAGAGACAGACCAGAGAGAGACCAGAGAGAGACCAGAGAGAGACCAGAGAGAGACCAGAGAGAGACCAGAGAGAGACCAGAAAGAGACCAGAGAGAGACCAGAGAGAGACCAGAGAGAGACCAGAAAGAGACCAGAGAAAGACCAAAGAGAGACCAGAGAGAGACCAGAGAGAGACCAGAGAGAGACCAGAGAGAGACCAGAGCGAGACCAGAGAGAGACCAGAGAGAGACCAGAGAGAGACCAGAGTGAGAGACCAGAGAGAGACCAGAGAGAGACCAGAGAGAGACCAGAGAGAGACCAGAGAGAGACCAGAGAGAGACCAGAGAGAGACCAGAGAGAGACCAGAGAGAGACTAGAGAGAGACCAAAGAGAGAGCATAGAGAGACCAGTGAAAGACCAGAGGGAGACCAGAGAGAGACCAGAGTGAGAGACCAGAGAGAGACCAGAGAGAGACCAGAGAGAGACCAGAGAGAGACCAGAGAGAGAGACCAGAGAGAGACCATTTTAACAACATTTATGGACCTATGTCTCTCTGTTAAAAGCATTTCCTCTGTTTAAACAGTTTGATTTTCTGATTTGTGTTGGCGAATCAACAACTTTGTAAAGCCCTCACAGATAAGTATTGTTGTTATTTAGGGCTGCACAATAATACTTTTAAACGACTGTATTTTTATATTTCAAATTCTGTGCAGACGTCTCCAGGAAACACAACCCCTCTCCTGGTTTGATTCACTCGTCGCCCGGAGTTACCCCCAGGTTCCGGCTCCGGCCAATCACAGCCTCCGCTCCCTGTCTGCGCTCTGATTGGTGGAGCCAGTCTCTATGAGAGCTCCTCACTTCTGGTATAACAACAACATGACAGAAAACACGCTGGATAAGTATAAGGTAATATATATTTATGGATATGTACTTACTGAAATATTATAATGTGTGTGATGGCTGCTTGAACAGAGACAAGTGAGACAAGAACAAAATAAACAAAATTAATTAAAAAAAAGAAGGAAAAGAACCAGAAATGAATCCTCTGCTGTGTTTGGAATTCAAGTTTGGAAAGATTTAAAACGAGAAAATAATCGCTATTTTTTGTGGAATTATTTCGGTTTTTTGCAAATGAAAGAGGAC